CTCCAAGGCTTCCAAGAGGGTCCAAGAGGCCCCCAAGATGGTCCAAGAGGGTCCCGAGTTGCCGAAGGATCGTTCGAATACGCCCAAGATGGCCTCAGGATGGCGCAAGAGGCTTCTAAGGCGCCCCAAGAGGCCTCCAAGAAGCCTCCCAAGAGGCCCCCCAAAGGCGCACAACTTTGATTTTTCGTCGCCTTTTTGGCTTTCCGACGCTCCAAGACGGCCAAAGAGGCCCGCAAGACCACCCCAAAACGGCCCAAGAGGCCTCCAAGAGGGCCCCAAGACGGCCTAAGAGCGCCCCAAGACGGTCGAAGAGGCACCCAAGACGCCAAGAGGGCCCCAAGACGGCCCCGAAAGGGGCCCCAGAGAGGGAACACGAACAGAAAATCTGAGCCTTCTGCCCCAAGGGGTCACCAGGAAGGCCCCAAGAGGCACCCAAGAGGTCCCAAGAGGCCCCCAGGAGGCCCGAAAACGGCCCCCAAGAGGCTTCAAAACTGCCTCCAAGATGCCCCCGAGAGGCCTCCCACGAGATTCCAACGAACACCCACTAGACTTATAACCCACAGCCCAGGCACGGTGGCGGGACTTGCCATAGGCAGCTGGATATCTGGAAATCTCGATATCAGGGGGCGGGGCCGGGGTCGAACTCGATAGCGCTACATCTCGATATCAGCCGCAGGGTCTCAGCCCGTCGACATCCACAGGGCTGCTGTCGAAGTAAAGGTAGAATTATCGAGATATCGATCCCCGCTGTCGGACATCGACGGTTCCAACCGCCGCCCTTCCAGGAGCAGCGCTCGTCGTCGTCGTCGTCGTCGTCGTCGTCCTCCTCCTCCTCTTGATCTCGAAAATTCAGGCCCGTCCAAAACAAGCACCAAATCTGTCGTGTGACTGTTTTGGGGCGGGTGCCACTTCCAGGCGACGGAAGTAGACGGCAGAAAAGAGGAAACGAAGGGGGGTCTTTTCCTCCACTCCTCTTCCTTGACAACGGCCAGCCGGGCGAGAGACGGGGGGCGGGGCGCTGTCAGGTAGCGACGGGGTAAGGGGCGTGTAAAACAAACTATATTTACCCCGAGATCCTTTACAAAAAAGTAGAAATCCCGATATCCTGATACTCGGCATCATGCGTACAGAGAGCAACATGGTAAACTTCACTAGGCCACGACATCGATACATATTATGTTTCGAGCGACCCCGTCCGCAACCTTCAGCGTTGTTCCCCAACGGTGCGCGCGCCTACTGAAACGATGCGTGAAACAAATGGCAGAGGACGCAGAGAACACGATGGTGGCGAACATGATGGCAGAAGGTATCATACTAGATTGCAGTGTACGGTTCATACAACTTGTTATGTGATCGTATTTTTCGGTTGTTTCATATTACGTTGTGTTCGGCTGCATGGCAATGTTATATTCCCTTGTACCCTGTATCCGTATGAAGTGATATGCTATGATATGTTCTCTTCTCCTCTGCTGCTTATGGGATGACGCTCTATAGTACGACATGATCTGTTTGTTATGGCGGTATGCATTGTATTGCGTTATGTGATGTTCTCAGAGTCAATATTCTAGTCGAAGATACCACGTTATGTTCTGCTATGCTGCATCATGCTAATTACATTACGGCGTATGCTGTTACTCAATTGAATTGTGAACTCTGCACTGTTATCTTTTATCAGTCCAAATTGCTGACACACCGCAACATAACACAACACACCGTACTTTCATACATATCCAGCTGCGTCACATGACGAGAACTATTCACCACATTAGATGTAATATACTCGAAGACATTCTGCCACAACTTTCTCCGCCAGCGTGTTCCTCCCAGCTTCCTCTGCCATTTGTTGAAGGCATCTTTTCAGTAGGTGCGCGCACCGTTGGGGGCCAACGCTGAAGGTTGCGGATGGGGATCGCCCGAAGCATAATCTATCGATGCCGTGGTCTAGCGATGTCCACCATGTTGCTCTCTATATGCGTGATGTCGAGTATCAGGGTATCGGGATATCGAGATACTTTGGGGGATATCGAGGTAACGATACTTTGTTTTAAACGCTCTTCACCCTGCCGCTACCTGACAGCGCCCCGCCCCCCATCTCTCGCCGGGCTGGCCGTTGTCGAGGGAGAGAAGGGGAGGAGAAGACCCCCCCCTCTCCTCCCCCTTTTCCCGTCCTGAAATAGGCACCCGCCCAAAACCAGTCATCATATGAGTTTGGTGACTGTTGTTGGGCGGGTCTGGATTTTTCTATGTCGAATCGACGATGACGGCGAGCGCTGCTCCTGTGGAATCGTCGATGTCCGACAGCGGGGATCGCTATCACGACAACTCTACCTTTACTTCGACAGCAGCCCTGTGGATGTCGACGGGCTGCGATATCGAGATGTCCAGACCCAATCACAGATATCACAGATATCGAGATATCCAGTCCCCGCCTGGCCCCGCCCCCCCGACGTCGAGATGTCGAAAAATCGAGTCCCCGCCCGGTGCTGCCCCCCATATCGAGATGTCGAGTCCCCGCCCAGCACTGCCTCCGACAGGCGGAGGAGGAGGAGGAAGAGGAGGACGAGGAGGAAGAGGAGGACGAGGGAGAGGAGGAGGAGGTGGAGGAGGAGGAGGAGAAGGAAGGAGGAGGAGGAGGAGGAGGAGGAGGAGGGCCCCAGACATCGCGACATCGAGTCCTCACGGCCCCCGCCGGGACGCCTTGCGACCACAGTCTGTGCGCCCACGGGGGGCGCCACGAGGGCAACCGCACTTGCGAGGGCGACGAAGCTTGCTGGCTTCCGCCGGTGCTGCACGGAAGCCAACACCACCACGGCCAAGACAACGCCCACGCTCAAAAACCTGCCCCTGGCTACCTCTAGGTCGGACATGTCCTCCTACAGGGTGATTTTGGAAGAAGAAGAATGGAAAATAGTCCAAACAGATTCCAAAATCGCCAAACTAGTTTAAAAAATTGCACCCAGACTATATTTGGACCATTTTTGAATTTTCCTCCCGTAGACGGACATGCCCGACTCAAGGCTACCTGCAGGGCCCCCAGCCTGCGCAGGCGATTGTCGCCCAGGGCTCTGGGGAAGCCCCTGGGCCCCTATCGCCCTCGGAGCCTCTGTCAAAGGGCGGGCTCGCAGCAGAGGGGCCCACGGCACTTCCAGGGCGTTGGCCCCACGCTGGGGGTTGCTCCACAGGTGCTCCCGGCTCTTCGCTCTCCGCTCTGGGGCCCCTGGGGGGCCCCCTGGGCCTCGTGCTGGGGTTCGCTGGGGGCCGTGGGGGCCTCCTCGGAAATCCTGGGGGCATCTTGGGCCAGGGGCATTCTTCCAGCAACGCCTTCGCCTGGCCCCCGCGGCCCCTTGCGGCCCGGGCCGCCGCGGGGGCCGCCAGGCAGAGGCTGCGGCTCCACCGGCCCGCCGGTGCCCGAGCTGGCCGGAGCCGCCCGCCGACGCAGCTCGGGAGGCCCTGCTGCCTGCCAAGAAGGCCGAGCGCGTCGCCCACTCGGAGCAGGCGGCCATGGCTCTGCGCGGCCAGGGCCCGAGGCTGGCGCTACGGCCGCATGCTGCTGGCACCTCCCCCCTCTGCCACGGGGTCGATCCTGCTGGGGCCATGGGCCACCGGGTTCGTGTCGCACCCCGCTTGGGTCGCGCCAGAGGGCCACGAGTGCACCGAGCACGGCACGAAGCAGGAGGGGCCGCCCGCGACGACCTGCGGTGTCCACGACTCCAGAGCTGCCAACCTGGTCAGGCAGATGCAGACCGAAGATCCTGAGACCAACAGGCTTCGCAGGGCTACTGCCAGGCCTACGGCACCCGTACCATCCAGCGACGCACGATGGCAGCTTCCTGCACGCCTTCCTCTCGCGCCACTTCGCCATGCAGCGCAGCGAAGGACAGGGGCCCACCAACTCCAACGCAGACCTACTCGCCGGTGCCCAGGAGGACCCCGATGAGTCCTGATGAGCTCACCAGCGATGATGGCGACGCAGGGTACGAGGAAGAGGACGAAAACGCCTACAGCTTCCTGGGGATCCTCAGCCTCGCGGGCACCCTACCCTCTGAGGCCTTCACAGACGACGACTCGGACATTTCCAACCCGCTCCTGGCCAGATGGCATCGCAACCGCCGAGCATGACTGCGACGTGCACAACTCCTGTCAGCCCAGGCCCGTGCCGCCGTTGCACATGGGCCACGCTGCCCACCCACTGAGGCCCGCCAGGTCCAGCGCACGCCGTGATCGCCCGCGCTCGGGGGCCAGGGGTGGACGGGGAGTAGGGAGGTGGAGGATGAGGAATCCACTCCGCCATGCCCTACTGGAGCATGAGGGGCTTCCACTGCTGCCGACACCGCCCACACCGCAAGGCAGGGAGGACTTCGGCGGCTTGGGAACCCTTTACTTGACTCCCACTCAAGAGGTGATCTTCCTCCAACCTTCCGTGCTCCTCTCCTCTCCGCCTCCGTCCTCCCCGGGGTAACCTCTACCCAAGAAACCAGCGGTATCTGACCATTTTCAATGTCATCCTTCCCACCCCCGCGCGCCGAAGCAGGTAGCTGCGGGCAGGGGGGGTGGCGGAGGTCGTGGCTCCTAGTGACGCAAAGGCCTACAGCAGCAGGAGGAGACGCACGAGGAGAGGGAGGGATGGAGGGAGGAGGGAGAAGACGAAGAAGGAGGAGGAGGAGGAGGAGGAAAAGGAGGAAAAGGAGGAGGAGGAGGGGAAAGAGGAGGAAAAGGCGGAGCGGATGGGGGAGGCAGGAGGAACAAAAACAGGTGGAGGAGGAGGAGAAGGAGGCGGAGGAGGAGGCGGAGGAGGAGGAGGAGGAGGAGGAGGAGGAGGAGGGAGGAGGAGCGGAGGAGGGAGGAGGAGGAGGAGGAGGAGGAGGAGGAGGAGGAGGAGGAGGAGGAGGAGGAGGAAAAGGAGGAGGAGGAAGAGGAGCAGGAGAAAGAGGAGGCGGGGGAGGAGGAGGAGGAGGAGGAAGAGGAGGAGGCGGGCACGTTATATTGCCCCTCTGGCTCACCTCCCCAGCTGCGCCCTGGGCTTTTCAGCTCCCTCTCCGGCGAGCCGCCGGCGTCGGACTCGGCCTCTGCCAGCGGGCTCTCGCCAGCCAGCAGGGCGCCAGCGTCGGAGAAGGTCCCCAGAGGTGGGCTCTCGCCCGCCCGCAAGCCGCTGGCGTCGGAGAAGGTCTCGCTCGGCAAGTGCTCGGAGAAGGTCCCCGCCGGCATCGGCTCGGAGAAGCTCGCCGTCGGCATCTGCTCCAGCTCCGCGAGGCCCTCGCGCTGCGAGCGGAACTGCTCCATCTGCCTCTCTCTGGGGGTTGGGGGGGGGCGAGCGTGTGGCGCAGCGCTTTTTGGCACCAAGTCGGCGCTTCTTTGCACCAGGTCGGGACATGGATGAGGGAACTGAGGAGGAGGAGGAGGAGGAGGAGGAGGAGGAGGAGGAGGAGGAAAAAGAGGAGGAGGAAGAGGTCCCCTTGGGACCGACGACCCCACCTCTCCCAGAACAGCCCAGACACCTACTATCTCCCCCAGCCCCCCTCCTCGATCCTCCATCCTGGAGCCTCGATCCTCAGGATGAGCCGGCGGCCCCCCTAGTGGCGAAACCCCTTTGCACTGCCTGAGGCCTCAGCACCCTCGCTGGCGCCCCTGGCGGCTCCGCCGGGGCTCGGAGCGCTCGGCTGAGGCGCCGATAGACGAGCGCCTTGCACTACTCGCAAAATGACTACTCGCAAATGGCCTGCCCCCCGCAGGGGATCTACGATACTTTACATCAAAGCAGAAATTCGTTTTTCGGACGTTTGCGACTAGGCACTTTGCGAGTAGTGGAACGCGCTCGGTGAGCCGAGGTGCCGCCCATGGGCGACCCAGCGGGGGCCTGCCGGGGCCAGTCTGGACAGCCTCTGGGCGCGCCTCCGCGGAGGCTGCGCTCGCTCGGCGCCAGGGCCGAGCCGGAACGAGAACACTGGGGGGCTCCAGAGCCAGACGCTGGCGTCGGCTCTCGTGGCTTCCGTGCCAGCTCTCGTCAGCACTCGTTGCTGTCGTCTGCTCTCGTCGCTCTCGTCAGGGTGCCTTTGTCAGCCATCGTCGCTGGCATTGCCGCGGGCCTTGCCTGTTGACGACTCGTGCAGCCATCGTGCTCCCGTGCGGACCGCCAAGTAATAAGGGACGAAGGGATTCATCTCTCTGGCCACGGCGGGCCTCGGCCATGAAGAGCTTCTCCGACCTAGATCGACGGAGCGGCCCGAAAGCGAGAGCCCCTCCCGAACCCGAAGTGGTCCCTGTGTCGGCGTATCCCGAGCCTTGCCAGTTGGCCCAGCCGCCTCGCGGTCTCGAGCTGCAGGGCCTCCGGCGAGCCAGCGGGCAGCCGGGAAGCGGGGCCCAGCGCGGGCGACGTGGCCGCGGAGGGCGACTGCGCGCTCTGGGGTACACGGAGCCGTCTGGAAACCGGGACGGACCTGGCCACCGCGTTCACGGCACAGACGGTCAGCTCAACCTGAGGCCGGGGCAGGGCGCCTCACCTCTCTGGCGCCACCACCACTCCTCCTCCTTTTCTCCTCCTTCTCCTCTTCCTTCTCCTCTCTCCACCTCCTCCTGGCCTCTTCTTTCGTCTCCTCTCTCTCCTTGTCCTGCTCCTCCTGGCCTCCTCCTCCTCCTCCTTCTTGTTCTCCTCCTCCTCCTCCTCCTTCTTCTACTTTTCCTTCTCCTGCTGCTCCTGCTGCTGCACTTGCTGGGGGAGAAGGAGGAAGACCTCCTGGAGCCAGGTGGAGAAGGAGGAGGAGGAGGAGGAGGAGGAGGAGGAGGAGGAGGGAGGAGGAAGAAGACGAGGAGGCTCGATTCGCCAAGGCCTCGCATGTCATCGACCGTCGGGCCAGGAGGTTGGAGGGCGGTACAGGCGCCGGGCCAGGAGAAGAAAGAGAGCCAAACTGCGCCGCGGTGTGGACGGTGCGCTGTGGTGGGAGTGGTGCGGTAGGCGGCCAACGCGGCAAAGAGGGCTGGGGTGGCATTCGTGCCCGTGGCAAACGCGCCTGCTTCCCGCCCCCAGACGGGGCGGCGAAGCTCGAAGAGGGAGGTGTCCATCAAAGATCGGAGTAGACTTGGAGAAGGGGTCAAGGTTGGCGGAGAGCGCAACATATATAGAGCGCTGTGGTCGGCCAAGCGTCGTTTGAAAGTGCAAGGCGGTGCGCCGTACCTCGGCCGACGCGCAACGTTTCTCACCTCACAAGGGGGTGCGGCGAACTTCGAAAAGAGACAGAGACCACCCGCGTAAAGAAAAAAGTCAGGTGTGACGGAAGCGTGGCGCTCGTAGCAGAATGCGGAGGAGTAAATCAGCAGTGACCTGTTTCCTGCCCGCCAACTTTACAAGCGGTGGGATGTGGCGCAAAGCTAGCCTACGCAGCGGTGGCGTGATTGGCGTGGTAGCCGGTGCCGTATATTGTTCGTGCGCCGCTGCGTCTGTTTGGTACCCCGCTGAAGTGGGCATCGGCTCGGTGCTGTGCTGCGTCGCCCTTCTGATGGTGAGCTTGTGGGGGGGCTCTCGTTTGCCTCGGGGCACTCCAGGGACTTTAGTGGGGTGTTGCTAGAAGGTGTTCTGGCCCGAGGTGCTCCCAGATGTTTTCTCCATTCTACAGCCCTTCCGGCACTCTGGCCTCGTGGAAGGGTGCTGGGAAATATGGAGACACCTTGGGCCAGGCACTTTTTAGTGCTATCGTGGGCATTCGCGGAGGCAGCCTCTGGCGGTCGGTCACGACGCTGCTCGTGCGCGTGTCCTGACGTGGATGCAGCGGGGACCGCGCCGCCGATGATGGCATGTTCTGTTGCGAATCGTACGGGTAACTCAGAATTTGTTGTGCGGCGGTTCTGCTGCACCGCGCTGAATGAAAGGAGCGAGGCGCGCGGTTGTCACATGCGCGCCTGCGGCATGTGCGAATCGGGATCTCGCTGTTGCGGGGCACCAATGCTGGCACTCCGTAAGTCTGCTGGTCGTGCATGCCAATGCGGCTGTGGATGCGGCTGTTTCGGCGCCGTCGTGCTGTGAGACAGTAGCCTTTTGAGAGGAGGAGGAGGATGCGGAGGAGGAGGAGGAAGAGGAGGGGGAGGAGAAGGATGAGAAGGAGGAGGGGGAGGGGGAGGATAAGAAGGATGAGGAGGATGAGGAGGAGGCGGAGGAGGAGGAGGAGGAAGAAAATGAGGAGGAGGCGGAAGAGGAGGAGGATAAGGAAGAGGAAGAGAAGGAGGAAACGGAAGAAGACGACCGAGTTGAGGAGTCGCAAGAAGAGAAATTTCCTTGTGCGCATCCTTGACAAGGCTCGAATCGGCGAGTCGGAACCGAATCGGCGAGTCGGAAGCGAAAGGAGGAGGAAGACAACATAACCTGCAGACGTGCGATACACGTCGGACAAACGCAATCGTGGAGGAAGAGGAAGAGGAGAGTGAGGAGGAGGACGAGGAGGAGGAATAGTAGTAGTAGTAGTAGTAGTAGTAGTAGTAGTAGTAGTAGTAGTAGTAGTAGTAGTAGTAGTAGTAGTAGTAGTAGTAGTAGTAGTAGGAGTACTACATCACATCAGACATGTCGAATATAGAAGAGCTGCGTGAACAACGGCACTGTAATGCGCACCGAATTGCAGGACACCGGCTTCCATGTCTCTGGCAAGGATATCACGATCACTATTCGGAATACGACCACGATTGATAAGGCGAAGGAGAAGAGCTACGTGAGCAGCAACACTGGCATTTGCACAGAGTCGCAAGTTGCAAATCACCGAGCCCCATGATATCACCAGGGATAAGAATATGATCAACCAGAAGAATGCCAGCATCGACAACGCCGCCATAATCGATATTGAGTATCACCAGGACATGAAGAGCCCGCCTGTCCTTGTCAGCATCGTCACACATACCGTCGAGAGTGGCGACCATCAGGAAAGCAATGGGAGAAGCAACGTGATCAACGGCACACAGATGCTTGCCATGGTCGAGAGTATCGCTGGCCTGCAGGGCTCCACCGTAGATGGCTTCGTCCGATCCCAGGGGCAGTCGGCAGACTTCGACATCATCCACGGCTTCAACGCAATGGTCGACACCATCGCCCTCGACCACACACATGCTTTCCGCTCCCAGACCCGAAGGATCACCGAATTTTCCTCCCAGCAGCCAGAGAATGCTAGAGACGATGAGCGGACCCCGGCGTGCAAGAGGGGAAGGAGGGTGAGACGGAAGGGCAAGAGGAGGGCAGCGGGGGACGAGGAGCGGGAACGGGCAGGCAGACGGAGGCTGTCCACCCCCCTTCCCGCCCCCACCCAGCCGCTCAGAATCTGGGGGCGTCCCGCAGGGGGGCGTCCACGAGGGGGATTCGTAAATCATGTCCCGAGGTATGTGCGCGGTCGAGGGCGGTGGGCAGGGGAACGTCGGGAGATAATAAAAAAACATGAGAAGACTAAATAAACAGGCTAACGCAAACTAAAATTGCTAGGACCAAGATGCACGAAACAATTCATACGAATAGTAACAAGGAGAAGGCCCTTGCTAAAAAAGTGAACGGGCCAAAACATCCATGGAGATATCATCGTCCCGTCCCTGATGCCCATGCCCCCCTAGTCTTAGGTCGGGCCTGCCCTCCTACAGGCCGATTTTCCAGGAACATTTAAAAATAGTCGAAACGGATTCGAAAATGGTCAAAACATACTAGTCTCCAGATTATTTTTAGACTATTTTTGAATTCCCCCCCTGTAGAGTGGCAGGCCCGACGTAACCCTAGTCATCACCCCGCTCTCGGCCGCACCCGAGACATCGGCCCCCCGACCCTCTTTGGGAGTCCACCCTGGCCCGTCCTTCGAGGCGGATCCGGACGTGGAACCCCCGGTGATCTGGGCCCCCCTTCCCCGGGGCCGGATTTTCATCCCAAGATATTTTTTCATGCCCCCGTCACGCTGACGACGACTATGACGATGCCATCGTCATCTTCATCATCACAACCACCACCACCACCACCCATCAACATCATCACCATCATCACCACCCTCAGCACCATCACCATCATCACCATCAGCATCACCATCAGCATCACCATCAGCATCATCATCACCATCCTCACCATGACCATGACAATGACCGTGACCAAGACCATGGCCATCATCATCATCACCCCCATCACCATCACCATCAAGATCACCATCATCTTCGTCATCACCATCACCATCATCATGATCATCGGCATCACCATCATCAACATCATCACCATCATCAGCAACACCATCATCACCATCATCGCAATCATCACCATCATCACCGTCATCATTATCATCATCAGCATCATCACCATCACCATCATCAGCATCATCAGCATCATCACCATCATCGCCATCATCACCATCAGAAGCATCATCACAAGCATCATCATCACAATCATAATCATCATCAAGATCATCAGCACCACCATCACCATCATTAGCATTATCATCACCATCACCATCATCATCATCACCATCATCACCACCACCACCCATCACCACCACCCATCACCGTCATCATCACCACCATCATCATCGCCATCACCATCATCACCATCATCACCATCATCATCAGCATCATCCGCATCGTCAGCAACATGAGCAACATATTGATCATCAAGATCCTCAACATCCTCAACATCACCATCACCATCATCATCACCTTCATCTTCGTCATCACCATCATCACCATCACCATCACCATCATCACCATCACCATGACCATCATCATCACCATCACCATCACCATCATCACTATCACGATCACCATCATCGTCATTATGACCCACATCATCATCATCATCGCCATCATCACCATCACTTTCATCATCATCATCAGCCGCACCATCATCACCATCAGCATCGCCATCATCATCAACAACATCATCATCACCATCATCACCACCATCACCATCACCATCACCGTCACCATCACCATCAACATCACCACCACCAACATCGTCACCATCAACATCCGCACCATGACCACGACGGTGACCAAGACCATGGCCATCATCATCATCATCACCACCATTATCATCACCATTATCACCATCACCAGTATCATCATCATCGTCAGCATCGTCATCATCATCGTCATCATCAGCATCATCACAATCATCATCACCACCACCATCATCATCATCGTCATCACCATCATCGCAAAGAAAACCACCATCACCTTCATCACCACTATCGTCATCATCATCATCACCATCACCACCACCATCATCAGCATCAGCAGCATCAGCACCATCATCACCACCATCAGCACCATCACCACCATAATCATCACAACCACCATCATCATCACCATCACGATCATCAGCATTACCATTATCATCATCTTCGTCATTATCATTACCATCATCAACCTCAGCATCACCATCCCCATCATCACCATCATCATCGCAACCACCGATCACATACATCCTCACCACCATCACTTTCACCATCACCACCATCATCACCATCATCATCATCATCAGCACCATCGGCAACATCAGCACCATCAGCAGCATCGGCATCCCAAGCATTCCCAGCATCATCAGCATCAACATCATCACCATCATCGACATCACCATCGCCATCGCCACCATCATTACCATCACCATCGCAATCATCATCATCACCACCGCTATCACCATCACCATCATCGGCATCACCATCACGATCACTATCATCAACATCGGCATCATCATCACCACTGCTAACATCATCATTAGCATCATCACTACTACCATCAGCATCGTCAACATCATCATCACCATCACCATCACTATCACCACCACCATCATCATCAAAATCATCATCAACGTCATCAGCATCACCATCACCACTACCATCAACGCCACCATCAATCTGACCATCACCATCATCAGCATCATCGTCACCATCATTCTCACAATGACCGTGAACAAGACTTGGCCATCATCATTCTCATCACCACCATCACTATCACCATCGCCATCGCCATCACCATCATCATCATGACCTTCACCAGCATCACCATCAGCATCAGCATCACCATCATCACCACCATCACCACCATCACCATCATCTTCATCACTGCCATCATCGCAATCATCAACATCATAATAATCAGCATCACCATCACCATCACCACTATCATCGCCATCATCACCATCATCACCAGCATCATAACGATCATCATCAGCATCATCACAAAAAAATCACCATCACCATTATCAGCACCACAATCACCATCATCACCATCATCATCATCATAATCACCACCGTCACCACCATCACCACCCATCACCACAACCCATCACCATCATCATCACCATCATCACCATGAACATTACCGACATAAGCATCAACATCAGCATCATCAGCATGCTCAACACCATCCGCATCATCCGCATCATCAACATCATCATCGCCATCATCACAGTCACCATCACCATCGTCATCATCATCACCATCAGCATCATCACCATCATAATGATTACCACCACCACCATCACCAGCATCACCATCAACCATCATCATCATTACCAGCATCAGCATCATCAGCATCATCATCATCATCGCCATCATCATCATCACGATCGTCATCACCATCACCGCTACCATCATCACCATCACCATCATTATCATCATCACCATCACCATCATCACAATCATCGTCATCATCACTACCACCATCACCATCATCATCATCCGCATCATCACCATCATCAGCGCCACCATCATCAACATCATCACCGTCATCATCATCATCACCATCACCAGTACCATCATCATCATCACCATCACCAAGACAATCACCATCATCAACTTCAATCATCACCATCACCCCCACCATCAACGCCGCCATCGCCATCATCACCATCATCACCATCATCACGATCATCACCATCATCACCATCACCATCATCACCATCATCAGCATCATCATCAGCATCATCATCACGGCCATCACCACCACCATCGCCATCAACATTACCATCACCACGATTACTACCATCGTCACCATCAACATCCTCACCATGACCATGGTCGTGTCCAACACAAAGGCCCTCATCATCATCAGTATCAGCATCACCACCATTACCATCACGATCACCCTCGACATCACCATCGGCATCATTACCACTATCACCATCATCATCATCATCAGCAGCATTATCATCATCAACACCATCACCATCATCGTCACCATCACCACCATGACCATCATCACCATCAGCACAATCATCACCATCATTACCATCACTATCACCATCGTCATCAGGATCATCACTATCACGATCATCATCATCATCACCATCATCGCCATCATCACCATCACCACCAGCATTATCACAATAACCATCATCATCAGCATCACCATGATCAGCATCACCATCACCATCATCAGCATCATCATCACCACCATCAATATCACCATCATCACCACCACCCATCACCACCACCTATTACCATCATTACCATCACCATCATCATCACCTCCATCATCACCATCATCATCATCAGCATCATCACCATCATCAGCAGCATCAGCATCATCAGCATCATCAGCATCCTCAGCATCATCAGTATCATCATCACCATCATCACCATCATCACCATCGCAATCATTATCACCATCACCACCACCATCACCATCACCATCATCATCTTCACCATCATTATCGTCATGAACATCACCAGCACCATCACTGTCACCATATCGCCATCATCATCATCATCAGCACCATCACCATCGCCATCATCATCATCAGCACCATCACCATCGCCATCATCATCATCATCATCAGCAGCATCAACATCGTCATCAGCATCAACATCACCATCATCACCATCACAATCGCCGTCGCCATCGCCATCACCATCATCACATCAACCATCACCAGCATCATTACCATCATTATCACAATCACCATCATCATCATCATCATCACCATCACCATCATCATCAGCATCATCATCACCACCATCACCATCACCATCATCATCAACATCACCATCATTATCATCATCATCACCATCACCATCATCACCATCATCATCATCATCATCGTCATCGTCATCATCATCACCATCATCAGCATCACCATAACCGTCATCATCATTACCACCATCATCATCACCATCACCACTATCATCACTATCATCATCATCATCATCGTCATCATCATCACCACCATCACCATCACCATCACCAACACCATCACCATCATCATCATCATCATCATCATCATCATCATCACCATCACCATCACCATCACCATCACCATCACCATCATCATCATCATCATCATCATCATCATCATCATCATCATCATCATCATCATCCGCCTCATCCGCCTCATCCGCCTCATCCCTCATCCTCCTCATCCGCCTCATACGCATTTTTTTTCGCGAGAAAAAGGGTGGGGGGATTCCGCCCCAGCGGGGCCCAGCCTCCGCGCTCGGCTTCAGCCCCTCCACGGGCACCGACGTGGCGCCCGCGGGCACCTCCTCGTCGGCCACGGGCCCCAACTCCTCCTGCCCGCTGGAGCGGTCCTGGCGGAGGACCAGTCAGCACCGAATCGGGAAGTCTGATCGAACCAGTGTGTGCGTACGGCTGGGCTGCCTCGGCATGGAGCCCGAGGTCGAATCGCCGTGCAAGCCTCGGGCCGCATGGGATCGCCGCAGCATCGGAGTCGGATCGGATCGGGCCCTCCAGAATCGGCATCGAATCGAATCGGTCGGGTCGAAAGCATTGGGTGGCTCAGGCGGGGCGACCGAGGCCAGGTGCCTCGCCGTGGCTCTCCCGAAGGCGCAGCGGGCGAGGTCGTCGCCGCCAGCGCCGCCGCTGCCGCCGTCGACGTCGCGGCCGCCATGGGCCCCCCAGATAAGACGCGAGTGGTGACCGTGGTGCGAGTGGCTCATCACGCGCTCCAGGACTTCCAGGGACTGTCCAGCGGCCCCTCGTCCTTGGATGCCGCGCGGGGCGGCAGGAAAACCTGGAGATCTTGGACCGCGTACTTACCATGACCTCTTGCTCCTCTGATGAGGGGCAGCGTCAGGAGGGGGGACTGGCTGAGGGGGGAAAAATCGAGCCTGAATCAGCGATGCATCGCCAACAGATCGGGGACAGGTCCCTGTTAGCGAAACCGCACGACCCTGGGCGGGTCGGGCCATCAAGCCCCTGCCGACGACGAATGGGCGATTGGGGGTACATTGCACTACCCCCCTGAGCCTGCCCCCGCTGAGGCTGCCCCTGATCTGATCGATCGCGGGGTCCTGGAACACCAGGCTGGCAACCACGTGGTACGTTTCCGCGAGGCGCCCGGCCTCCACGCCCGCCGCGCCCGCGGGCCATATCTCGAGCTCCGCGACCAGCCCCTCCTTCTCGTTGGTGGAGCTCCAGCGGACGACCCGAAGGCCCGACACGGGCGCCGGCGTGGTGACCCCGAGGGCCTTCTGAAAGCACGCGGTCCTTCCGCATCGCGAGACAGATCCCCATCCCCCGTGGCCCAAGGCTCCTCTGCGCAGCCAGCCTGCCCGCTCGAAGTGGGGATAGGTGCCGCGAGAGCCGGAGGAGACGGCATCAATCCTCACCTTTGGGGGGGGTTAGGCTGGGCAGCCGGGCCAAATGTTGCCCAGTGGGACGGGGGTACGTTCAACGATGCAGAGTCCAGGGCTGGACCTAAATGTTGCTTTTCGTTTTGGTTTGTTTTGTTTTTTCTTCTGCTCTACCTGCTTTCCTGCACCTCCCTGCCAAAACGAAAAACAAAACACGGCCGAAGCCCAGCAAAACGGCGTTTAGGCCCAGCCCTGGGCAGAGTCCTCGTGACCTCCTGGTTGTCGCACAAGCGGTCGAAGTACTTCTGGAAATCCACCCGACGCTGGGCCACGACCTCGGGACGGCTGCCGGTCGGCTGTCCAAACAGCCTCCCGATGGTGCCCGCGGACAAGGGCGTCTTGGGGGGGAAGTCGGGCAGCCTCCCGGCCCCGAACACGGCCATGAGCCGCTCGTGGAGGTCGTAGAGCTCCGTGTAGCGCCTCTTGATGGTCCACTCGCACCCGCCAGAGTGGCGCACACGGAACCTGTACTCCGTGTGCGACCCCACGTCCACGTGGCCCTCACAGTTCACCACGAACCCCGCGCGGGTGGTTCTTGGCCATGCGTTCTCAAACGACGGCCTCGGTGCAGCGGTCGGGCGCTGCATCGGTCCCTTTTCAAACGAGCCGATGTTCAACCAGAATGGCTGCGGATTTGCTGGTGGGCTGATGGTCGCGATGTCGCTGAATGTGGTAACCGTTAGCCTCGTGCCTCGTCGCTCTCCCTCTCTCACAGCTACCTGCACCCTTCCCCCATCACCCCTCCCGCCTTTCCTCCGCTCCACCACTTACTGCCTGCCCAATCTGCTCGTTCCTCCTCCGATGCCTTGGCCGCTGCGGGCGGTTCCCTCCCCCGAGGAGTGCTCCCCCCCCCCTCCCACCCCCTTTGCGCCAGCCTGCCGCGCAAAACTGCGCCCCCCACGCGAGCGGGGAAGAGGAGGAGGAGGAGGAGGAGGAGGAGGAGGAGGAGGAGGGAGAGAGGAGGAGGAGGAGGAGAGGAGGAGGAGGAAGAGAGGAGGAAGAGGAGGAGGGAGGAGAGGAGGAGGAGGAAGAGGAGAAGGAGGGCGACACGGAGGAGGAGGAGGAGGAGGAGGGGGAGGAGGAGGAGGAGGAGGAGGGGGAGGAGGAGGAGGAGGAGTGCAATGCCCGACGGAGAGAGGGAGCGGCGGACAAGGTCACGCGCCGGTGTCGGCGTCGCGGCCGGCCGAGGATAGCCGCGACCGGCCTGCCAGCCGCGGGGCCGCCGCCAGTGCCGGCGGCCGCGGCCAGGCTGGGCTCCAGTGCGAGGGCCAGCAATAGCTGCGGGAGCGGCCGGCGGCGTCGCGGTCGAGGTCGAGGTCGAGGTCGAGGTCGAGGTCGAGGTCGAGGCCGAGGCCGAGGCCGAGGCCGTCGTCGTCGTCGTCGTCGTCGTCGTCGTCGTCGTCGTTCTCGAGTTCGAGGTGGAGGCCGTCGCTGTCGGCAGCATCGTGCGGGGTCGTCATCGTCATTATAGTCGTCGTCGTCGTCGTCGTCGTCGTCGTCGTCGTCGTCGTCGTCGTCGTCGTCGGGGAGCTGCACTCCTGCCTGGGTTCAGCGCAGCCCACAAAGTTTAGCGAGAGCCTGCGCGCTTTGGCGAGCAGCGCGTCACGCGCTAGGGCGCTTCGGCGTGCACATCGACTTGCGCTGTGGGCCCCGCTCTCACTTCGCCGGTGGTCTCACGAGCCGAGGAGATGGCGTCTTTTGTAGGTTTATCCCCATCTTCGCGCTGCAGCTCGCACGCCAAAGGACTTCGCGTGCGGCGGCCATTCTGGCTTTCGCGCTCGGGGGAGCGCGCCCCACATCCGTTTTCGCGTCGCATGGGGAACTCGCACGTCACGTTGGCCAGAGGTCTCCCGAAATCTCTGGAGGCCCCCAGGGGCCTCCAGAGGTCCCCTCAGGCTCAAAAAGGAGAAACAGCGAAAGTAAACATCTGGACTCTCAAACCTCGTTTCTCGTTCTCCTCCTCCTCCACCTCCTCCTCCTTGTCTGGCTGCGTCAACGCTGGTCCCAGAGGCATGCGGGAAGGTGGGGCTGGGCCTCGTAGCCCTAATCGCACTCCTGCCCCTGCTCACACTTGCACTCCTGCGCGGGCACTTGCTGCTGCTCCTCCTCCTCCTCCTCCTCCTCCTCTTCCTCCTCTTCCTCCTCCTCCCCCTCCCCCCTCCTCCTCCTCCTCCGCCTCCTCCTCCTCCTCCTCCTCCTCCTCCAGCACATCGGGCTACGCTAGCAACACTTCGACCGCAACGCGTGCGAGCACGCGCGGTCTCCAATTCACCTTCTCTTCACATTCACATTCACGCGTTGCCGCTCCCTATGGGGCCACGAAGCGCTGTACTGGGGGGGGGAACCGCACGCGAACTGCGACACTGGGACCATCGGTGGAGCTCCCTCTAGGGACACGAAGCGCTGTACTGGGCGGGGGAACCGAACTGTGCCACTGGGACCTTCGGTGGAGCTCCCTCTGGGGCCACGAAGCGCTGCACTGGGTGCGGAACCGCATGCGAACTGCGCCACTGGGACCTTCGGTGGAGCTCCCTCTAGGGCCACGAAACGCTGCACTGGGCGGGGGAACCGCACGCGAATTGCGCCACTGGGACCTTCGGTGGAGCTCCCTCTGGGGCCACGAAGCGCTACACCGGGTGGGGGAACCACATGCGAACTACGCTACTGGGACCTTCGGTGGAGCAGAGGGACCACGACACGCTGTACTGGGCGGGGGAACCGCACGCGAACTGCGCCACTGGGACCTTCGGTGGAGCTCCCTCTGGGGCCACGAAACGCTGTACTGGGCGGGGGAACCGCACGCGAACTGCGCCACTGGGACCTTCGGTGGAGCTCCCTCTGGGGCCACGCGACGCTGTACTGGGTGGGGGAACCGCATGCGAACTGGTGGAGCTCCCTCTGGGGCCACGAAATGCTGTACGGGGCGGGGGAACCGCACGCGAACTGCGCCACTGGGACCTTCGGTGGAGCTCCCTCTGGGCCACTGGGACCTTCGGTGGAACTCCCTCTTGGGCCAAGAAACGCGGTACAGGGTGGGGGAACCGCATGCGAACTGCGCCACGGGAACCGTCGGTGGAGCCCCCTCTGGGGCCACGAAGCGCTGTACTGGGAGGGGGGCACGCATGCGAACTGCGGAGGAGGGAGGGGGGGGAGCAGGAAGGAGGAGTGAGTGACTGAGGAACGCGGGGCGCTGTCTCTTCAAAGCGAGGTCCCAACGCTACAGGATGGTTGGGACAAAACACACACACACACGATGCGCACGTGCACCGCCGAACAACTGCCCGGCGAGAGAAGAGAAGAGGAAGGAGGGCGATGATGAGGAGGAAGGTGAGGATGACGAGGGCCAGGAGGAGCGAGGCTTGCTGGGCTGGCGGCGCGGGCTCGGCGACGCCAGCTCACGGGGGGGTCGCCTGGGCAGCAGCGTGGAAGCCGCACCGCGCGGGGGAAAGGGGTGCCATCCGCGCCTCCCCTCCCTGGGTGCCCGCGCAGTGCTGAGCGGTGCGCGCACGCACTTGGGCGAGAAGGACATACGTATGTAAACACAATCGTACACATTTGCGCGCAAGTGTGTGTGTGCATGGGGTGGAGAGAGAGAGAGAGAGCGAGAGAGAGAGAGATAGACAGAGAGAGAGAGAGAGAGAGAGAGAACGAGAGATATAGTGAGATGACATACGCCTAGATAGGAGGAACACCGAGCACCTGAAAGCGAGAGAAAGAGAGAGAATAGAGGGAGAAAGAG